AACCAGAAGAAGAATACCAGAGATAAACGATGATCACACACCCAATATCCCCTGTTTCTCTCACCCTCTCAATCTCCTAATTCCTCAAGGTATCGTTCACCTTTCTCCCTTTCCGTGACTCATATATATATACTCTGCACCGTAGAACTGAATCACGTCTTGATTCACAGATTCCTCGAAGCTCCAGCTCAGCGAATCTTCTAACGGCCTCTGCAACTTGCTCTCTTTCACTCAAGTGAGCATCTTCAAAACGCAGAGTATAAACTACTCAGGGCCTCAACCGATAATGAACATTCTTATTGGGCTTCCTCATAAACCTGACTCAGCCCAAACCTTTCATTATCAGACCCAAATGTAAACCCGGAAAGTGTAAGCCACAAAACCAACAGATAGACTTTCTCTTCGGGTATTCAAATGGACTTGAAAATATGAACGTATATCCGTGTTAGGTGACCAAAAATAATTGTGACTTAGTTTCATATAATAGGTGGGTCGAAACTAAAAATGTTAGTATCCCAATCTTTTCTCATTACCACTTTACTACAATTATCCGTCCGCCATGTCTTATTACTAAATTCTAATCCTGAAAAAGTAACATACAAAATAATAAAAGATTTGACAAAAAACTAAAGGCATGTGCTTAAAGAAACTTTAAACCCATATTGAACCCTGCCAAGTATAACTATAATTTGTTTATATTTGGTGGAGAGTATTACATGTATTATGAAATATTATAAAGTTGCAATTTTAAGAATCTATGTGTCCCCCCCCCCTAGCTCGTAATATTTTTATATTTTCTTATGAGTTCACACGGAAATACCTTTCAGCCTTTCAGGCTCTTCATTGAGACTAAAATGTTAGAAAATTGAATTTAATTTTAATGTATGTTTTCTAACATAACAGCAAGTTTATGCTAACCAGGAGATTAAACTTAACTTGTATAATATACATATACTTTGAACCGAGGTGCAGTGCAGCAGTGTGAGTTTTGTGACATTACTCTAAACTAAAAATCGATAGTATTGTGTAGAGAGCACATAATACAAGTCACGTGAACATCGCCTAAATCAAGATTACTTTATCCCTTTGTGAATGCGCTAGGGAACAAAATTGCCTCCACTTTCATAGTCTCATGTACTATATTAAGCAACGAGCAAGTGGTCAATCATGCCTTAAAAATATTTAATTATCAAAAAATGATGGCAAGTAAAAACTTGGCAAAACCTCCGGGACCTTGTAGTCGAGTGAAATCATATAAAATTTTCTGAAATTAGGTATTTCATGATGTCACATGTTCATTCATTGTTAACAAAAAAAAAACCTTGAAACTTATTTCAATAGAGAAAACTTTGATGTTAGTCCAAAAGAAGGTAGTAGAAGGGATGGACGAAGAAGAGAGACAACATGTGATTAGTTTGGTCCGTCGTGTCTACCATGCGTTGGTCTGGCTCCACACTTATAACTCGACTCGATCATTCACCTCAAAATTCATTCAAATCTACACGTTCTATTTTGTTCCATGTGTTACGTCACGTACTTTGACTAGATTCGACTAATGATCAGTTTGATAGTGTAATATGTAGTAGTAAATTAATCAAATGGTCTAATAACAATAATATTCGATCACAAAAGTTTTATAGAATGGTTATAAACATTTAACTTGTTTTACTATATTAATAAAATTTTAAAATAGAATATAAATACTTTTTAAAAATATAGAAATTTGATAATTATGTATAATAAAAATTAACAGAATCACGTTGCTAATATATGAAACATCATATCGCGTTTTAAATTATTTCCATGACATTGTAATACTTCTCCATTCATTACTGAATTGTTTATACATTTATACAACAAAATAAAGAATTAGTTGGATCTAAATGGGAAAGATGGTGGGGAGGACAATATCGAAACCTCTCGATTCTTAACAGCGACTCAATAGCTTTTTATTAAGCGAATTTAATGGTTTTATAAGACCACTCTAAGAGTTAGGGAGAAAGTTGTTTCCAGTTAGTTTATTTAGAGAGAAGGTTGTTTCCAGTTAGAGATTGGAATAGTTTTAATTTTTTTTTTCAAAAAACTTTTTTCTTCTAATCAGGATTTTTTTTAGAAATATATTTCACAAATCATAGGAAAATTGACTTTTCAATAACTGTTAATTTCTGAACAATATCTAAATTTTTTTTTTTTTTAGTTTATTACTCGAAAGTAATTTTACATTTCTTTCTTACAAATATCATTGTCTTTAAAACGTTTTTATACAATGATAGTGGTAAACTGTTGATACGTAAGGCATTTTACATAAGCCGTGAATTTCTAATAATAGTCACTGCGCACATATACAAATTAACACATACAAAAAAATTACAATTGTCAATAAATTCAATTTCATTGTTTAAATTTAGCCATTACCAAAAATTGTTAATTTATGTACCTATTATTATTTGTAGCTTAGTAGTAAATAAGTGTTTATTACACTACTATATTTGTACTATAAATCTCATAGTAAAGTTAATTATATTTTTAATTATTCACATTATTAGAGTGTAATTATTGTTTGTATTTTAAATATAGTTGTTAATATTCGTTATATTATATTTGTACTATAAATCTCATAGTAAAGTTAATTATATTTTTAATTATTCACATTATTAGAGTGTAATTATTGTTTGTATTTTAAATATAGTTGTTAATATTCGTTATATATTATTTAAATGATATTTGTTGTGTAAAACATGATTAAGTGTTTTTGGGTTGATACTATATTATATTTTTACAATTTCTAAAATAATTCTTTTATTTTTTGTTATAGTTTAAAAACAAAAACTAAAACTAAAGTCGAAAATACAAAATCATCATATGAGCTTTTCAAAAACTAAAAATCATTATTTACAAAAAAAAAAAATCATCCAAACAAATCAATGATCTTAGGCTTTACAGCTAGTGAACTCTCACATAAGAGCATCTGCATCAAAGAGATCTCTCAAGGATTTTCAATAAAAACGAAAAATAAAAAAAAATCAGTAAAAAGAAGAGAGAAGGAAAAAAAATTCTCTTTGGAAAGAGTTTATCAAACAAATTTTGAGAACTGTTTTACCACATGTTAACAATATAGTAGTTCAACCACTTAAAAGAAAATTACAAATAATCAAATAGGAAAAAGATCAATATTTTGAATTTTTGGAGAGACTCACACATGTTCTATCACTAAGAACAGCAGCATTAGTGATAAGCTATCAGATGATACCTCATCAAAAAATAATAATAAATTATGACACTGGATGAAAAAGAAATTTAAAAAATGTGAATGAACGCTTCTTGCAAAGAAACGTAGACCAGTTTGTGAAACATCAATTCGCTAGGTGTTACAGCATGTACATCAAAAGTTTATAGCACAAGTTCACACATTTCCCTAAAAAATATATTATAATAATTACCTTTGTTGAATTCGGCTCGCAACGCCTCTTCCAAATGAATCCGGTTCATGATTATTTTGCGATCCGGCATTGGTCCGTTTCTTTTTTCTAAAATCAAATGAAAAAAAAATTAAAATTCGTGAACCCCAAAGTGGGTTCACTGATGGACTTGCTCTTACTCTTCTATTAGTGTAATCTTTTTAACAAAAAATACAATAATTAGATAAATTATCAGCACACAAGATATTAGTATAAATATTTGAGAATTTGTATTTCAGAAACTAAGACCACCATTATCCAAGTTTTTAATAGGGTTTTAAAGAGGAAGGGGGTCCATTATATGAAAAAACCGAGAGTCAATGTTGCCAAAGAAGAAAGGTTTGCTTTGGGTTTTTTCAACTATTCGTGGACTCCACTGACACGTGGCGGCCCATAATTATTTTTAAATTTTTTTTTTAATTAGACAAAAACGAAAAAAAAATAAATTAAAAACCCAAGTGGGTATTTGGGATAAAAGTTGGTCTAAGGCACTGCTGATGCTCTAGTGATGTTCTTAAACCTCGATTGGTACAGCAGATGATAAAACATTAGCAGTATGCTGTAGAAGCTGTATGTTGCAGAAGCTGTATACGTTCAGTAAAATTTTTAATAAAATGATTGGTAGAGCAGTAGTGGTATACAATTTGAAAAATTATTATAATAGTTAATATAAATAAATATTTATATTAAAATATATTTATATATTTATAATATATTTGTTATTAAAAATAATGAATCTTATTCATTATATAAATTATATTATAGTTTATATGTAAAATATAATTATCTAAAAATGTAATTTTTTAAAAAATATTAAATTATTTTTGGAGATAAAAATATTTAATTTTATTAAATAAATAAATAAATTATATATAAAATTATCCTAAAAATTAATATAAGTTATATAATTTATTTATTAATGTATAATTAATATATATATATGTTTATATCTATAATATATATTATGTTATGCTTGTTATTTAAAATAGTGAATGATATGTGTAATTATATAAATTATATTATATTTTAAATGTGAAATGTTATTCTTTTAAATAATTTAAAAATATTTAATTATAATTTTATTTTAATTTTTAAAATCTAAATTTATATTTTAATATAAAATATTTTTTGTATTATTAAACTCTAATAAATTAATTATGTATAATTATTTTTAAATTTTTTATATATCGTAAATGCAAAAGCTCTACCAAAAGCTCTATTGGAGAGCATTGAACAAATAACATTTAGAGAGCATTAGCATTTAGTAAATGTTTTTCTAAATGTTTCTTTGACAAATGTTGATTGGATAATAGAGAGTATAATATTATGCTAATGCTCTATCAATCGCGCCCTTAGTATTGGTTTGATATCCACGAAGTTGGTTGGAGAAAGACGCTCTAACAAAAAAGGCTTTGGCAAACAGAAAACAAGTCACTAATACTAGTATATTATGGACAACTTAAATGGGCTTTCGCAAGGCCCAACTAATCCGGGTATATAATAATGGGTCGGGTCACTTAAATGTCTTTCCCCTTCTTTCACCTCCGCCTCACCGTTTCTTAGGGTTATAGTCAAAACCCGAAGACATAACAAAACTCCGAAACAACAGAGTTTTAGAATCATCAGAAGAACTAGGAGAAGTGTCTACGAGAAAGAGGAATAAAAGATTTTGAATTTTGAGATGGAAGACGAAGGAAGAGACGCTCATCAACTGGATTTGGAAAAGGCAGATCAAAATATTTGGATGATGAAGAGTCCTGTTGTTGTTACCAAGACGTGGGAGAAGCTTGCTCCTCCTCTTCCTCCTCCTCCTTCCTACTCTTCCTATACTCCTTCCGGTTACATTAGTTTAGCCAAGGTTGTTCATTCCCTTGAACTTGTTCCACTCACCGAGCCCAAGGTATTGCATTATGTAATCTTCGGTTTTCAAACAAACCCTAGATTGTTTGAATGATTAGAAACATTACTTGGGTATATCTAGCATCCTTAAAAGTTTGAATCTTTACTACCAATTTGGTCTGAAAAAAAGACATGTGCTGAGTGAGTGTTGTATGTATTGATGTTTCTCTGTAGTGTCCTAAAAGTTTGAATCTTTACTACTGATTTGTTCTGAAAAAAAAGACACTTGTTAAGTGAGGTGTTTCTTTTTTCAAATGTATTGATGTATCTTTGTAATGGTGTAAAAATCAGTTCAACATGGAGATGGTTGGTGCAGAGTATGGGAACATGCCAAAGAGCTACTCATTGAACATGTTTAAAGACTTTGTTCCAATGTGCGTCTTCTCCACTGTCGATCTTCAAGGTGAGGAAGGAGGTGTCTTGATTTGTTTAGGTTAAGCATCTTCTGATACCTTTTTTTTTCTTTGTCCTGGAGCTTAAATAGACAATCCAGCTGCTGATGGAGTCATAGAACAAAAATTTGATATGAAGCCACAAGGCGAAGATATTGAAGAGTATGCTAGGCTTTGTCGAGAGAGGACTAGCAGGTCCATGGTTAAGAACCGACAGATACAGGTGTTGTCTTTTAGGTTCTTCTCATTCTTGACCTCTCTTTGAACTGTTAAGCTAATCAAATAAAGCTTGAAGGTTATTGATAATGACCGTGGAGTACATATGAGGCCCATGCCTCTAATGAATAGCTTCATTTCAAAGGTAATATTATAATTAAATGCATATATGATGGAGTTATAATTGAGATAGGCCAACACTTCAAGTTGTTTGTGTTTCTGAATGAGCAGGAAAAGAGGAAAGCTGTCCCAGTCAAGCAAACAGATGTGAAGAGGACGAGGAGAGATCGTGGTGAGCTCGAAGGTATCATGTTCAACTTATTCGAAGGCCAACCGAACTGGACCTTGAAGCAGCTAGTACAGCGGACAGACCAACCAGCTCAGTTTTTGAAAGAGATACTAAACGAGCTTTGCGTTTACAATAAGAGAGGATCGAACCAAGGGACATATGAGCTTAAACCAGAGTACAAGAAAGCTGGGGAAGATGATACAGGTGGACAGTGAAAACAATCGCATGTGTAGTACAATATTATAAACCCAAGAGTCATTTAGTTCTTTTTTAATTTGTTTTGTTAAAGTCAGAGGTGGTCAGATTATGAAATTGAGTGTTTCTGAACACTAAATTACTATTCTGTTATATTTTCTTACAAGTTATAAAATAACTCTACTAACAATTATTTATGTCTCTTGAAAATTCTTACTCCCTCCAAATTATAAAATAACTTCATTGTTTGCAAAGAATATCATCATTTTTCATTTTAATACAGAATTTTAAATAAGAAGCCAGTTATAACTTCATTGTATTAGTATATTAATTATAGGAAAAAATATTTAGTGTATAAATAAAGAATAAAATAAAAAAAATGTAACATGTGTGAAAACTCTCAAATGACAGCTTTTACAAAATAGAGAAATTATGTCTTTTGAGATTCATGTCTAATGGTTATACATCTATCTATATATATATAGATAAAGTATAGTTTTTTCACTCAAAGACGCGCCACATTATCAATAGATTAATCTTAGCACGACATGTGTCTCCTTTCACAAAACTCTGCGTTTCATTTACGGTTATGTTTAATATTTATAGATTTCGTGTTTGGGCTTTCTGTTCACTAATAAATTCAAATCTTAAAGGGGCTTAATGTTTATCATCTTCCTCAACTTAACAAAGAATTTAAGATTCATCATAGTACAACTCAATACCAACGAAAACAAATGTGTAAATTGATTTTAAATAAATATTAAATTTATACATAATTTCTAATTTGAAAACATATGAATAAACTGAAAAGAACATAAACAGTCATACATAATTTTTTAATTTAGATACATGTAATTAAACTAAAATTAACATGAACAATCATTATCATTTTGTATCATAAACAAAACACATCCTAATTTATTAAGAATAATAATTAATAAATTAGTTATACAAATATCTATATATGTAAAAGTAGTTTTTCTCTTCTTTAGAAGTGGAATTTTGATACGTGTCTCTTTAAAAAAAAAAAAAATTATGTTGAGCTTACATGAATCTTTTATTATGGACTTTGAATAACGTATTTTGCTCTGAAACCCACCCAATAGCAGGATCACCTTGGACTTATAAATCTGTAGCTTCTGTTAGGGTTCATTATCGTTTTCAAGTTCTCATTAGGTCTAAAGAAGCATTACTCCATTATACATTGGCTAACATTTATTTTCTTTACAATTTTTTAGATAATTCAATGTTTTATTTACAACATCAAAGTGATAAAATATGAGAGTACAAATTAAACATTTTAAAATATGGGTTAAACAATAAATTAATAAATAAGTGAAGAAAGAATATAGTAAGCATATATCTTTTTTAGAACAAAAAATTGAGATAATCATTGGAACAAAACTGTCTCTATTTTTATAGTACTCTATTTTTGGAATGAAAAATTAAAAGAGAAAAATATTATAAAATAGTATATAAATTAAAAGAGAATTTGTTTTTAGAAAAGATAAATTTATAATTTAATAGGCCCTATTTAGATAAAAGTTCCATGAAAGATCGATGTTCATGATTATCTTTAAAATACGATTTAAATATTTAACCAGTGTATATTCTTTGCTTTTTATTGAAGTTGTAACATATATGATTTTCAATATATCAAAACTGTACATTTCAGATCGATGACTCTAAAAATGAGTGTATGAGATTAAATAAAAAGAAATCTTTATTTAATTTATACAAAAATTAATATTAAGAAAAAATAAATTATTTTGACATTGAATATGAGATCAAATGTTTTAAAAAGAAACAACATAAAGATCATTTTGAATCCCTCACAACATATCAGTGTCATAACTATTTAATATGGACATGACTATTGTATACAAACAAAATATATCTTGCCATTTATAATCTTTTCTTACCTAAAACTTTCTTATAGACAAAAATAATTATCATATGAATCTCTTGCAAATGTAAATTTAAAGAAAAACTATGAAATTATAAAAAAAAATAGTAATCCAAATCATAAGTAAAGTATATCCTACTCGTAGGACGGACCAGACCTAGTATATTATACAAAAAAGTTTTTGTTATAGTTGTATTTTGAAGATTTTTTTGTAATTTATTTTTATTATGTTGTTGAATTAATGACAATTATATTTTCAAGAACCGAAACTTAAATCATCTAGATCAAAGTCACAAATGAGTCATTGTTTATAACGACAAATAATTAAAATCAAGTGGCCGTTTGGTTGGATACAAACATATAACGAACATGAAGTCTTGTCTAAAGAGATGAGACGTCAGTGTGTGTCTTCCACTGCTTAGACATAAGCGAGACTAATCTTTTTGAAAACGACGTGAAAACTTCTTGATTTTCTTGTATGAGCTATATCTCTCTCGCTGAAGATTCCAAGTTGTTGACATTTGAACCGTAGAATATGGGATCATGAACATTAATGACAGGGACAATATTATCAATGACAATGTACTTAATTCTCCTCTTTCTTGTTTTGTGGCAGACACAATAATCGTCGTGTTTACATTTTTATTTATCCTTCTAATGTTACACTCTTTCAATTTTTCGATCACTTGAGTGTTGAATAACTCGAAAGAACTACAATATTTTAGTTGATATGGAATAATTATTTTTTTTAGGATTTTATATATTGACATATACTCATCAAATAACTGATACTATTTCCGTTTCATAATCAATATCGTTAAGACTTCTTTTACATTTATTATCAAACATGCTTATGTTTTTTTTTTCACTGAACTTTTTCAACATGCTTATGTTAATACACTTATTAGTGCATTTATGCTCGAGATAAGATCCTATACTGAAAATATGAAAGAGATTTAAATAATATATAAGTGATTTATATCATTCTATTACTGCCAACTGATTTTAAGCTGGAAATCCATAAACCTTAACATGCTATCAGAGCGGGATCATACTCTAATCCATTAGTTTGGCTTGTAAAATGACTTGATCATCATATTAGCTGATGATCTATAGAAGATTTAGTTCCGTTGAGATTGCTATAGAAAAATATTGTCCTAATGATGGTTTGTCGAGATTAATGGTTAAATCTACCATTATTTCGAAAAAATGTGTTAGAGATAAAATTCCACATTAGAAATATGAAAATGACTTAAGTAAGAAATAAATGATTTAAGTCACTCCATTTACCACCAATTTATTTTAGATTAGAAGTCGAGAAAACTTAACAATTTATTATTTTATTTATCCAATTGATGAACTAAAATAATAGGGATAAAGATTAATCTTTTAAAAATCTGCATTAAAAACATGAAATGACCTTTTCAAATAATAATAATAATATGAAATAATAATACTAAGAATTATAATACATAACACTTACTATGAAATATAAATAAAGTAGTATAATTTCCAATAAACCACCTAAATAATATTCCATTCGTTTCATATTAAGTGTCGTTGTAGAGAATTTTTTGCGTTACAAAATAAATGTCGTTTTCACTTTTCAATGCAAAATTTGTTAATTTTATTTTATAGTTTATTTTTTTATTGATTAAAATATGGTTAAGTGTATAAGTAACTGTGTTTATATATAAAAAATATGTAAAATTAAATGTTTTCTTAATCCGTGTGTACAGCTGTAAAGTGACACTTATTATGAAATAGAAGAAATATTATGACTCGCATCATGATGATGGCACGAGTCTTATTTAAAGACAGTAGTTTATATTTAGAGTTAGATTGTCTATTCGCTTTCAGGATTATTAAAGACGTTTTCGCAAAACATAGATCACACGGGATATATCTAGATCTGATAGGAGGAACTTAGAATTAAACTTGATCCAGATATACCAGCCATGCTAGTTTGTAAAGATACAAATTCACTGCTACTTTACAAAAAAACGATCACGTTTTCATTCATTTTTCAAAAAAAAAAAAATCAATGTGGTTGGATCTATAAATTACAAGCTAGTATTGTATCACAGCCTTATATTTATGGGATGAAAACAGTGAAAAAGCATGCAAATTAAAGAATTATCATTGGTGCTTTCAATTGTTAGCAAAATCTTTTTATTTCCTTTGTTCGCTGGAGCTTATATTGATAAAATGCTAAAGGACGTAAGTTTTTTTTTTTTTTTGAAACACTCTAAATGACGTAAGTTATCTTATTAGTTTTTGACCAAGTCACATACGTGAACGAGGAAACTAGCGGAGGAAGATGGCACTGAAGTAAATCTTGTTTTTTATAGCTATTATAATATTTTTACACAAAAACTTCTGAAAAGGGAAATTTTAGAAAAATAAACTACACAAATGTTTTCTTTGCATCTATCTTTTTAGGCTATATGACACAATGGAAGTTAAAAATACTTACATGATTTCGAAACTTATGCGAACTTTGTTAAAAATATATTTTTTAAAAAAGAAGATGAGTTAGTACTCAACGAAAATACATTAATTGGATAGAAAGATATAGCTTATGTAGCACAAAAGCGTGACTAGGTAAAAGAAAGAGATAAAATAATTATTTTTAAGGTAGAATTCGTAATCCTTCGATGGAATTTTGGTGTCACAGAGAAGACTATAGAATCATATTATGACAGTTATATTAGTGGTTTAGTCATGTCGGAAAATCAGTAATAAGCAATCCCACCAAACTTCATGTCAAATATAGTGGACTTTTCCATAATTAAGCAATGCATGCATGCCAAGGAAAAGCAATTGAGATGAGTAAAAACAAAATAAAGAAATAAAAAATCATTATATGTTTTGGACATAGAGAAAGATCTCGCATGCAAAAAGCCAACCCACAAAAATGTTGCAGGAAAGACTAATTGCATAGTAGTTTTTTATTGATTTGCCTATTTTAGAGTAATCATTAGTAGCCAAAAGAAATTTGAGGAGAAATTTTATTCCGCCCATTATCGTATAATCATGTGAATCTATAAGAAGTAACATGTCACAAAACGGAAGTATATCGGCTCTATGTAACTCATTCTTCGTTTAAAAACAATATTTTGTAACATGTCTCAAAACGCAATATATCGGCTCTAAGCTCTAAGAACATCTCTAAGAGCATCCACGTCAGGGTTCACACACAAACAAAAAAATTAGTTTTTCTTTCGTTTACTTTAAAAATAAAAAAATTAAAATAGACCAATCAGAGACTGACACGTGGTGAACTCGGGGTCACCGGGATTCACCGCAG